TTAAACTGTACATTACAAACAGGTGGCAATATTCCGAACTCCAAATGACTGTGGGTGGGGTGTGAAGACCATGGAACACATTGAGAAGAACCAGATGGTAACTGAATATGTTGGTGAGGCCATAACACAAGAGGAAGCTGAAGAACGAGGAAAAGTTTATGATAGTCGCGGGCAGACATACTTGTTTGATCTTGATTTCAATGATGGAGAATGCCTTTACACTCTTGATGCCAAAAAATATGGCAACATATCGCACTTTATAAATCATTCGGTAAGTGGGAAATGTGCAGAGAGTTGCATAGGTTAACTGATCACATTTCAATTATACTATTAGTAATGTACATGAAAAAGCTATGCACTTCTGATTGGCTGAAAAGAAGTGGATACTCATTTGACACATGCAAAGTTGTAACATGAGTGCAAACAACAAATACCGTGCACATGCTTTCAAAATTTGGTCTGTCTTGACTGTGCGATGTTCTTTCATGTACATTATGAACAATTAACCACATGATTTCTCTTGCAATTTGGTGCAACAAGCACCTGTAAATTACTACAAATTTCACTTGCCCCACAGGCTCGTGCAATTTTGTTATCTTTGAAAAATTTACAAGTGCTTATTAACACCAAATTACACTTGAAATCATGTTATTTCCTACATAAAAGAGGACTGCATCCTTGTGCAGGTGGCAATGTTTTCCTTCAAAGCAATGACTACCTGCAACAGATCCACTCAGGGACCAGTTTTTGAAAGGCAGTTTATGCTAATCCAGGGTTTTAAAATGAAACCTTTTTACTGGAGTCTCATGGCTTAAAGTATATTTCAGCACAGTGTACTATGGGGTGTTATCTTAGGGTAAGGCAGAACTGATGAAAATAATATAAAAACATCATATATTGGTGTATGGTGAATTTGCTTCATTGCAATATCCCCTCCTACCTCCTATGTGAGTGCACTTCCAAACTTCATTTTCCTCAGTAGCTCAAGCTAAAATAATATTTTCATCTATTTGTCCTCAGTGTGATCCCAACCTTGATGTCTATGCTGTCTGGGTTGACACCCTCGACCCTAACTTTCCACGCATTGCACTGTTTGCAAACCGCAATATTGAAGTAGGAGAGGAGTTGACCTTTGACTACCAGATGTCATTGGATACAGGAAGCAGTTGTTCCTCACCAAGGAAAAAGGAACACTTAAAATGCCGCTGTGGTGCAGAAAAATGTAGAACATTTTTATTTTAAAGAATTTTTCAAATTCACACACTCTTCTGTATATGCAGTTTTAAACCACCAAATAGAAAATATATGTAACTGTCACAAAAGTTAACCAATTAGGAGAGCATGGAGACATCCTGAAACAGAATTTGCAAGGTTAGATATTTTAGCTTAAACCAGTGCACCGCCTCTTTGATGTCATAGTGTTAAACACTATGATACTTGTTCAGATTCATATACCAATGGCATGTACACTCTAAATAACCTTTGGTGCTATGTCAATAAATTACTTATTTATTGCAACTTTTTGGTTTTATGGAGTGACTTCTTTTTTTACACATTAATTTAGTGTCACTGCCAAGAAAGCAGTCGAATTGTACCCTCCCATATTGGTATATGATATAAAGTACCCCACGCAAATCATCCGATTCAAATTGATGTTAGAATTGTTACTAGTTTTGAAGGTGCTTTGGATGAGAATGTCTGGTGTTTAAAATATTTCATTAGCTTGCATATGCTAAATTACTTTTAATGGGGATAGCTTAAACACTGTCAAAAGACCTGTTAGCTCAGCCCACTCAAAACGCTCCCCAAGCTCCTGCTTTGCGAAGACGACCATTTTGCATTGAAAAAGAGTAAGCCTTCTGGCTAACCTGGGAAACAATTTTGGCCTGACTGCCAATCACGACAAACAGCCTGCTACAGAAATGGGCATAGAGGACCTTTCCCGAGAAGCCCCTTTTTATCAATCAATAAACTTCAATTAATCCAATTCCACCCCCGCCCTTCCCACTTATGCTGGAGGTTTGGACACAGCTGCTAGCAACCTACCTTTTAACGGGGCAGTTCCTGGCAGTGCCTGGGTATCACCCTTAAACTCAAACTCTGACTGTTAAGCGTATTGCACCCATTCCTTGCGCCTACATTTCATATAGCACCCTCTAGGTACACGTTCCTTGCTCACTGACTGAGATGTGGCAGGGCTTGAGCCTGACTGCAAATCATGCAAGACGGAGGGCAATGCCTGACCTCCAGCAAAAAACCTAGTGGGCAAGTTTTTGCAAATCCTGAAAGAATCAGCTTCCTGGAGAGAAACTCTTACTTCCTGTAAGAGGTCTATTAATACTAGTGATATGATGAAGCTTCCAGCCTAAGCAGCTTACTGCACTTCACATTGATCTGGCAACGCCCTTGTTATTATAATCGGTAGATGTCTGTAACTAGTGAGGGTGAATTGATGGCCCTCTTGTCTAAGTGTCCTTTTCCATAGACCCCCCTTGGGGTCTTAGATTGAAGTTGTTGATTCCTCGCGTTCTTCTTTCACAGTTGAACCCCGCTAACTTGAACTCAGTGAACTCCAACCCTTTCCTTGACCCCACTTTTTCTCGGTAACTCGAATAAGATCGGATCAGAAAAAGGTATTTTCCGTCTGGTCACGGGCGTGGGACGAAAAAAAATTCTGAGTTCCCATGAGAAATCAAACCCCACGACCTTCGGATTCCGTGCTCCGATGCTCTACCACTGAGCCACAGGGAATTTACGGTGAACGAGGTCTATTACGAAGTTCATGTGACACGCGTCCTGCATACTGCCATAATCAGCAATGTCTTCTTTGAATATGAAAGTGACTTTCGCAGTAATGAACACTACTTGAGCAGTAGTGAAAATAAGGCCTGAAAAAAAATTCAGGCCCGTACGGGATTTGATCCCGTGACCTCTGCGATACCAGTATCGCAGAGGTCATGGGTTCATAGGTTCAAATCCCGTATAGGCCTGAACTTTTTTCAGGACTTATTTTCACTACTGCTCAAGTAGTGTTCATTACTACGAAGATGGCTTTCATATTTACGTCTTTATCCGTAGTTCAAATATATGACTTTCATATATTCACAGTCGTTTAATGTCCTCTTTATTCTACTCTCGTGACAAGAAGAAAAACATCTTTCTCTATTTCTTTACCTAACACAACAAGGAAAAGAAATGAAGGCAAATGGAAACGCATATGAGAATACAATAGAAACGCGAAGGACGCGCAGGAAGCGCAGAAGACACGCCAAGGGGATGCACAAGGACACGTACGGTGGCGAAAAAACAAAGCAAAGGGAACACTACTATCCGATTTTAGAAACTTAGCCGATCATGGACGATAGTTTCCGATTTTGGACACTAGTGTCCATTAGAGATATTATTTTTTTACATTTTGGACCCTAGTTTACAATTAGTCACGTTAAACGCTAGTGTCCGGTTTTAATTGGACACGTGTCCAACTTCAGACATTAGTGTCCGATTTTGGACAATAATGTCCGTATTTAGATACTAGTGTCCGATTTTAGACACGAAGTGTCCGATTTTGGACACCAGTGTCCAATTTCAGTCACTCGTGCCCAGTTTTTGTCACAAGTGTCCGATTTCGGACAATAATGTCCGTATTTAGACACTAAAGTCCGATTCTAGACACTTGTGTCCGATTATTGACATGAATGTCCGACTTTAGAACTTTTAGACACTGGTGCCCAATTCTAGTCATTGTTTTCCGACGTAAGACACAAGTTACGGATTAGAGACGCTGATATCTTATTTTAGACACTAGTAACAAATTTTTAACACCGATTTAAGTCATTAGTGTCCAACCTTAGGCACCAGTGTCCAATTTTAAACATCATTGACCAGTTTTAGAGACTTGCTTCTGATCCAGACACTGGTGCCCGATTTTTAATACTACTGTCCGATTAGGCACTAGGGTCCAATTTAAGGCATTAGTGTCCTATTTTAGACTCTGGTGTCTGATTTTAGACACTGGTGCCGAATTTTAGATAGTATCGTCCGATTTTGGACACTAGTGTATAATTTGGACAATTTTCCAATTTGAGACATTAGTGTCCATTTTTAGATACCAGTGTCCGATTTTGGACACTAGTGTCTAATTTGAGACAATAGTGTCCAATTTTAGACCAAGCGTGGAATGCCCGCTGAATTCAAAAGTTTTTTTGAGTTGAAATCTTCCCCCTTGTTTTAAATCCAGAAATATATAATACATCTATTACTAAACTCGTTTTCTCGGTCTGTGCTGTAAGTTACAGAACCTCGTTTTCTCTGCTCGTTCCATAACTTACAGTATGGATTTTTCACTCGGTTAGTATGAGGTATGTTTTTTTTCTTGAGATTATGATCTCGTGGTTTAACCTTGAAAAAAAAATTCCCTTTTTACAAATTTTTTAGACTTCCAACTAATTTCTCATACTTTTACAGGTTTGCAAATTGGGTGGCAGCTCCATCCTTTTCAAGAATTTTAAAATTATGGATGATTCCTGTCACTAATTAATAACTCTTCATCGAAGTGGTGGTGGTCATTGGTGGATATTGATCCATCGACACTGAGGTAAATAGCTGTTTTAGTTAATACTAAAACAGTGAGATGATAAAGCTTGATAAGATGCTTTAATTCATTTATTCCTGCAGCGATTATTATTTTCGGGCGCAAATCCCGCGCGAGTTATTGGGAGGTCAGTAGCAAAGAACATCCAGAGTTAAGGCAGCCAATCAGAGTGCGCCTTTAATGCCATTCACTGTTTTGGTATAAACTACATAGACCATTTCCGAACTACCTTTAGCCTCGTTTTCAAAGCGAGTCCTGATGCGCATCCTTTCATATGATTGTAAGTTTTCAATCATATGCAAATTAATTCATTTTCATACGGATGGCTGAGCACCAAGCTTCGTTTTGAAAAGGAGGCCAATTGGCCTATTACGATAGCGTACAGACCATTACAAAAAGGGATACAGCATTTGCGTACAAAATATTCTTTATTTGCAGATTACTTCTCATATTTTTTTCCGCCTTTTCATATATAGCCTTACAGGCGCGTGAACTTTTCTTTATAAAATTAAAATTTTATTTACAACCAAGTACAAATCTTTCTACAATACAGTACAATAAAAAAAAAAAAATTAAGCTAACAACTATCCTATATTTTCCGTTGATTCGCCTTGGTTTTAAATACAGTGCTACAAAAATATCTTCCCACAAAGTGTTACACTTTTTATCAGAAATGTAAACATCGGGTTTTTAAAAGAAAAAGACTGGAAGACATAAGAGCTTTCCTCGTCTCGCTAGTTTCAAACTTTGCACAGCCTTGGGGTTACATAGCCAAACTTTCGGATCTTTAGAAAATATTTCCCAGCATTCGTTTGGAAATTGATATTTTAGAAGAATCCGAAACAAACCACAAAAATGTATAATTTCAGTGCAAAATTGAAATTCTCCCCGGCAATGGACTTTCAATTAAGTCTTCAATATCAGTAAGGAGAATTTGGAAGCAAATTATGGAAGATACTGACAAAAAAAACTGTCAACCGAGCTTCAATTTTCGCATCCTATTGTCTCTACGGGAAATCTTCTGTCGGGAAACACAGGATAGAACTTCAAACATAAGAGCTTAAAAATTCTATCACAAAACAAACGAATAAATAAAAAAAACAAAAAGAACATTGAAAGACAATCAAGGTATGTGTTCTTCATGATGCAAACGTTTATAAAAAATAATTTGAAAGCTCTCACTTGTAAGTGGTGGTCTTGACTTCTACTAGTACAAATAATTTCAAAATTTGTATTCACTACGAAATGTCTCTATTCCTCAAAAATCGTTTCAACTTAATTTCTTTGAATGATCAGAACTTAACAAAAGTGGACAAAAATGTTCAAGATAATTTAAAATGATACACAATTTTATGATAAAAAAAATCGAAGGATAACTATCGATGCATTGCGTACACATATAAACTTCTATAATCATATTTTGAAAATTGCCCCCTCAGGCGTAAAAGGAAAATTGAGCTCTACATCATTTTCAATCCTTGGCACATTTGCAGAAAGAATTTCTCTATTCTACAAAGAAATTTTAAACATTCTCCAGCATTCGATTCCAAGTAGCGAGTTAAAAGCTGCGCACAAAAACAATTATCATATTCAATACAGCGAAATATTACAATAAATATATTCATATTAATTCTACAAGGATCCTGCCTCTTGCTTTCAAGTAACTAATTCTATTTTGTTTCTTCTTTCTAAGACTGACTCGGCAATCTTTGTCCCTCCATTACCACAGATGAAAGGGACAGTAAAATTAAAAAAAGATAGTCAAGCGCTATTTTCAACATATCAAAAACAGAGCCATTACCTGTGTCAATTGTATCTAAGATTATTTTACACTTTGCTGATGTCGATCCTTTAAAATGTCATCGTAACCATACTTAGTCCAAATGGCGGACAATTCAGAAGGTGTTTCCAGATAAAATCTTTCGCCTAGAAGCCCTCTCGATAGTACTGGCATATTTGTAACATTTCCAGCCATTAGCACGACAGCAAAGAGAGCACGTGCTGTTATGGCATCTCTTGGCAACGGATGAAATTTCACGTTTTTGAAAACTTGCCGGCTTCCGCGGCGCGTCAAAGATCGGTAATAATTATGGGAACGTCTGGCTCGCTCGACCAACGATGCGAGACGCGAGGAGATTTCCTAATAGTGTCCATAATTTTCTCCTCGCTAATTTCTTCATCTTCCGTATGGGACTCATGATCGCTACTCTGCGCAAGCATCCGCTCTGCGGCTTGGTTCAGGTCATCTTCGGACACGTCGAAAGCTTCAGCAATTTCCTGTTCGGCGACTCGAAGAAGTGGATCGTCCAGAGTAATAGAGACACCTTCGTCGACAAACGCACTCTCTAAAAGGTCTTTGATGCTTGCTGACCTGTTTCGCCGAAGGTCACTTCCCAGGTAGGCAACTTCTCCCGTAGCTAGCCACGGTGGTATGACCTCACTCTTACTCCGCTGTCTTACATAAGGAATTCGGTCACGTGACTCATCCTCTACCGGACTTAACGGCAGGCTTGATGCTGCCTTCAAACCTGCGTGGCCTTTCATGGCAGTGAAAGAGCCCGTATCATCCGGGTCTCGTAAAGGAAGTTCAAAGCGAGGTTGGTCAGCCTCTTTTTCGTTTGCGTTATCATCCGCCGATGTGCCAGCAGTCGGCATGAGGTATTTTTGATCACTGAACATAGTCGTAGCCTATGACAAAATAATGAGATATCTAAGAAATAAGCTTTCCATCCGTGACTAAGTTCGTAAGTCTGAAAGCTTTTAAGGGGCAGATTTCTAAGGAAACTGTGTTGCTGCGTCGGTGGGGGTATTTCAAGATACTTAAGTTTTATCGTCTGAGTTGACAATGTAAATTGGCCACCGCAAATTCTCTCTAAAACTGACGTTTCAAGCGTGAGCCCTTCATCAGAGAAATTAGGATTCTAGTCAGTCGGTCCGTCCATACGTTCGTACAACATTTCCGCCAGTCAGTGAGCCGATGGGCTTGGTAACCAATCAATCACTCTATCGACCCATCAATCAATTAATTAATCAATCAATCAAACAAACTAATCAATAACTCAATATGAATCAATTGTTCAACTAATCGATCAGACAAACAAACACAAGCTAAAGCCAAATGAACAACAAAGGCAAAAAAGAAATATTGAACGTCTTTTTGTGACTTGTTTTATACAAAATTATCGCTATTGAATACCACTTTTTAACGAATCGAACCGCACGTGGTACCACAATTATTTCTTAGATCACTTGACATACCATTTTTTCACTCAGGTTAGACATAGATGAACTCTTTTTCTTTGTCTCTAATCCACTACCATTTTTGCCCAGAAAAGCTGACAAGCGAAAAGATGCGGGACGACGAAAACTGGAAGAAAAAATTCAAATTCAGAGGTAAAACACACTATTGCTGACACTGCAAAAGTGCTGTCTTTTTTGCGCTACGACATATTCGAATGATATTGCAGGTGCTTATACCATTGGTTAGAACTGTCTGTGTCCTGGTCATTTATAAAGGGATTAAATCTAAATAACGGTAGTTTATTATACAAAATAGCCTTAGCTATATGAAGTGACAAAGAGATCTTCAGACGACAGAATTGCGCGATTGTCTAACAAATGGTTTTCAAAACGTAACAAGGACAATTTCCCCTACTTACGCTACATGAGAAGCGACAAGACTGCTACAGCTGTAAATCGTTACGCAATTTTATTGCGTGAGTTTTCATTTAATATAACTGGTATGTTTATGTTACCTGTGACGCGGCGATACTGAAACTGCATTTTTCAGACTCTCCCAGAACCCCTTATGCTAAAAAATTAATCAAAAGAAAGTGTCACTGACGGAAACAAGAATAACTGATTTCATTACAGTTGAAAAACGAAATTATTAATTGTCGTTTTATTACCTGCGCCTTTTGGGAATCGTCTTCCTTTAAGAACAACTCATCGTCGTCACTTCCAAGCGGACCGGAAATAGCTCGACGCAACTGTGGTCCGAGGCCGTGAAGCGTTCGTAGTCCCGCCTGGAAAGTGTAAGTCACAATGGAATGGGTGGGTGAGTGAGTAAATTTTAGGTCATTACCTAAACCTCATTGCAAGATTACGTCACACCGTGAGGTAAAAAGTGATACAAAGCACTTGGTTCGTCCCAGAACCACAAATAATCATAACAACAAATTCGTACCTGTAGAGCCATTGTACTATTTCCATGGGGTTCGTTGGCTTGATTCTGTGCCTTCTGCCTCGCTTTGAACCGACGGAAGTACTCTTGAATCAAGTATGTGGCATAAAATTTACCCACTGTGACGTCATCACCTGCAAACAACAGACAACCAGAGAAAAAAATTTGTCGTAAATGACTCTTCTCATTGGTTTAAGACTGAGCCTCTTATCTATCTGGGGGTAAAGATAACGTTAAGGATCATAATATGCGATTCGTGACAACGGAGTATAAAACTTCCCTTTACTTGAAAATAGCGTGCCACTGTAAACAAATTATGCAATGATAAAAATGAGCCAGAAATGCGGAATGGAGGTGAAGGATGGAAAAGATTAATATATGTACGGATTGCAGATGACCGTAATTTTTCTTCAAAAATTAAGCAAACCATCGTGTAGCTCTCTGAAGCATTCGAAATGTTTCTAGTAACTCAGCCTGCTTTAGAAGGCTTGCTTGTTCGGAGTACATTGCAGTTTAACGAAAACTTCTCACACCATCACATGCCACAGAAGATATTTCTAATTGGCTATTCATGCATTGAAAATGTTTATGCTGAAAAGATAAGCGACCACATCTTCGATCATCAGACTGTGAGCTAACAATTAAAGACGTAAACAAAGTTGCTACTTACGCACTCCGGGAGGCTGCACTACTTTATCTAAAAGTTCCATAGACGTTTTAGGCCAGATCCGAAGAATTATATTACGGACTTCTTCGTTGGCCTTGTCTATTGATCCTTTCCCTACAGAACATGAGCAAGAAAAATGGTTGAAGCGACAACACGCAGCCCCTAATGCGATACGACTACTTCTTGTTACATGCAATAGAAGGAAACTCATTTTCCAAAGTAATTAGCGAAAAACATAGATGTGGATCAAAGTCAGTAGCTAAGCAAATGCACAACTACCCCACCCCCTCCCCTCCCCTAACCAACAGTAACCCCAACTTGTTGACAGTTGACTGCTGTTGGGTCAGGGGAGGGGTGGGTAACCTAACTTCACCTTAGTAAACGCGCTCCCTTTCCCTGTCCTTTCTTGCGATTCTTCTTAACAAGAGCACCGACTGAGAAACGTGAAAAAAATATATTGTGCTGTTCGATGTCGTACCTTCAGGTCTTTTTATGTTTAAGGATGATCGGATAAGTCCAAACAGTGTCGCATTGAAGTCTACCATTCCGTCTTTGGTCAGCGGCATGTTCATAGTTACCAGGCGCTGTACAAAAAAAATGAACAAATGTTCTCATGATTTGGTGTCAAAATGGTGTTTTAACTTCCAAACCACTGTGATTTACTTCGGATTTTGGATTCACAACAATTGATAGAAAAACGCTGGATTCACTATTTGGAGTAGTATCTACCTTGCAAGCCTCTCTGTGAGGACAAAACTTTCCAAATCCCAGAGGAGGGGCGATTCGCTTTAGAACAGTTACTATATCCACGTGCTTTACACAACCATGCGCATCCGGGTCATACTCGGACCAGACCCTCACGTACTCGTCCAAATGGTGGGGACCAAGAATTGACCAATCACGAGTTAAGTAGTCAAAGTTGTCCATGATGACGGCAACGAACAAGTTGATTATCTACAACGGAGTGAAATGGATGAAAATGTGGTGGGGCTGCACACGAATGGGTCATAACCTTTAATAATCCCGATATCCATACAGGTGCTTTTTCGTAGAAATGAAAGACCGGCTGAGAACAGTCCACAAAGAAGCACATATCATGAATACGACCCTTCCATATTTTTACCTCATATGCTACACACAGCTGACTAAAACAGAAAGTGTCGAGAGAAATGACTACTGGAAATGGCGGAAATTATACACGTCACGCTTCTCCCACTTTGAAGCAATCTTTGCTTTGTAAGTACAAAGGACCGGGAGAAAATAGGCTAGAACCCCTTTAATTTGGATAGACCCACAGAAATCATTATTCACAAACCAGGCACTTTTTTCCATTTATCCCAAAATTTCAGCCATTCTTACCAAGAACGAACAGATGGAATAAAAAGAAACAAAGTAGAAATAGGCAAAGTCTGAGCCACATAATCCCGACGGGTCCTGCGGGTCGGCCTTCGCGTCACACTTAACGTCATCTCGATGCGTACACGCCAACATTATCTGTTGCCAATTTTCACCCGTTGCGGACCTACGGATAAAAATGTAAAGTAGAGTGAGCACTGAACCCTGTGATAGCTTTGTAGCGGTGCACAAATCACAAAATAGAGACAGTGAGCGTTCCCTTTACCTGAAGAGTACCATAAGAGACTGTGGGAATGTCTGGAAGTTGTTGTTTCTGTTGATCGCCGTGTCGGAGTCGATAGCAATACGACCAAACATCTGAAACAGAATAAAAGGATATATACTTAATTGCACTTCGTGAAAAGACGTTTGCTCTCCTTTGGAGGTACACTTGTTGCATTATTAGGTTAGACGGTCGTGGCTGCATTTTGGGCACTGTACGAGAGGGACTGGGAGAAAAATCTTGGCAATGGAGCAAAGAAAAGTTTAATGAAGCTTTAATATATCAACACTCAATCACAAGTCACTCTCTTTGAAAACTGCCATCATACCTGCATCCCAATCACAGCATAAATGAAGAACATCATGACAATAAGAAGAGCCACATAGGGAAGAGCCTAGAAAAAAACAACAGAAAATAAGAATTAATTTATAGTGGGTAACTGGAAGGAATTAAGAAGGATACGGGAAGGGGGAGGGGGGAAGCTGACAACGACTTCCACAGAAGGGACATTATCGGAAGAGCTCACCTGAAATGACTTGATAAAGGTCCAGAGGAGAGTCTTGATCCCAGATCCTTGGTTGAGCAGCTTGACGAGACGCAGGGCTCGAAACAAACGGAAGAAACCAAAAGCAAACATTTGCTCACTCTGAAGAGGAAGAAAATAATAATAATAATAATAATAATAATAATAATAATAATAATAATAATAATAATAATAATAATAAAAATAGACGAGCTACATGCTTCATCAAAAAACAATTCTCCCAGGCGCGGATCATTTTACGAATATGTATTACGTTGATTTTTTGATGAGCACTTATCAATTTTAAGCTTGATCCTTCAAGTGAAAGTTTTTAATCCGTGAGTCCACAATATTCAATGCTTGAAGTTTACTTAAAACAGGATGATAGTGAAAGTAGTTTAACTGTGAAGCTTAATCACAACCCTTTCACAGCTTCTGTTGAATGTTTTGCGCAGCCATTCAACGACTTAAAATCATCTGTAGATACAGGTTACGCGCTTTAACACGCTTCAGCCTTCTTATACGCAGAAATGGTTACCCATTAGAACGTCAGAAAAAAATTTAGAACACTTTGCGTGCGGTTAACCGCCCATTATGCATCCTTCAGTTTCTTTTTAATCCGTTTGACAGATACACATTAACGAATGTTTCTTCCTGTACGATTTTAAGCGCTCTACAATTTTACACTTTATTGACAAACCTTTTTCAGAATCTTAAGACTGTATTTCATTCTTCATTCTTTATATGGTACATAGGTTTATCATCAGCGCTTAAAAAATTATCAATATTTTATTTAAAGTAATGGTTAGCTAACTCGCAATCAGTTGCGGCCAGCGTTTTGGTCTTGAAACTGAGGCGCTATTTACATTGTCACGGGTATCCGAGAAACCTCTCCCTCCCTCGAGACAACTTTGCGGAGCGCTTTCATGGAGTTGTGAGTTGCAACAGCTTTCACCTCGATCACCGGTCTCTCTCGTGACGGCAAGAAAGGCTACATGTTCGTCAAAATTTAAGCCGTTTCATTTCTGGCGGGTAAGCCGAAATGTTTTTGTGAAAAAATAGTTGTCCCACCTAATAGGGCAACCCTAACTGTGGAGGCGATACCACTCTCCCCCTGAATAGTTTGCAATTTTCATGGTAACAATTAGTTAAATTTTTCATAGAAGTTCAGTCACGGTAACTCTCAGGGATGGTTGTCTCGGGTACTTCAGACCATATAAATGGGCCCGACGAGTTTTAAATGTTAAGTTAGGTTTGTTTATCGTCTTACAATTCTCTGAATACGCCCGTCGGAGCCACTATCCATTGCTAACTCCAGCTCCGAAATACCTCGATGTCTTCTGAAAACATCCTAGAGGAAGTAAAGTGTCTTTATGCTTTTAAATGATTTAGTTGTTAGGATATCAAGTGTGGGCATTTATCACGAGCTTAAGAAAAAAAAAGTGAAAGTATAAACCGATTCACTTGCTAATAAAGTAAATCTTTTACGGATTTATGGAGAACTGTTAAAAATATGTCGTATTATAGGCACTTGTTTGATCATGTTTTATTGAAGGGGAGGAGAACAAACCTCCAAGCAATGCTTCTTTTAAGTAACAACTAAAAATTAATGGTGAAACTATTGAACATGTATCATTAAACTACGGAATAGTCAGTATTTTTGCGCAGGTAATACGTAGGAGCTCTTGTTTTGCATGAAGGGACTGTGCGAGAAGTAAAACGAATTGAGTGAGACTGGGGAGACTTGTTATTTTGCAATCTATAATTTACCGAATCGTCTTGGATGTAAAAACTAATAGCAGCTTTAATTTTAATTTGAATACTGATAGTGTCAGTCATGTTACCTCATATTTAGAGGGGTCGATCTAGAAAACCATCTAAATGCCTAACAAGCGGTTGCTAACTTGAAGTGCGAGTACCATGCGCGGGAGAGGGCAGAAACACGCGCGTGAGAGGGCAGAAACGCGCGCGTGAGAGGGCAGAAACGCGCGCTTGAGAGGGCAGAAACGCGCGCGCGTGAGGGCAGAAACGCGCGCGTGAGAGGGCAGAAATGCGCGCGTGAGAGGGCAGAAACGCACGCGTGAGAGGGCAGAAACGCGCGCGTGAAAGGTTCCCTCTTGCTGTCACGCATGTGCCGATCTAGATCACTTAGCTCGTAGGCAAGTTACTTCATTTATTTAACTCATAAGACTGGCCAGCGGATTTCTAGGTGAATGTACTTACCGACACCTCATTCATTGTGATATCAATAATACTGCCAACCACAATGATGAAGTCAAAAAGATTCCATCTGTCCATGAAATAATTCTGGATAAAAAAAAGAGTCAGTGTAAAACATTTGGACTGAGGAATAAAAGTTCAGATTAAAACTTCTGCTTCGAGGGTTGAGACCTTTTCTTTCGTTTGATCAATGGAACTCAATCCTAGCCACGACTGATACTATTGATGCAATTTTCAACAGAGACTCACTATCCGTAACAACTGTTTAGCGGCAGAACAGATGGGGAGTTTTGCTGGGAGTCTGGCACTAACAGTGATTCATCAAATAATTTTTTAGTGCCAGACCCCTCGCACACCTCTCGTCTATTCTCGTGGTTCAAGGCCACATACTTTCCCGCGAGCGAAGAAACGTGCGTGCCAAAGCGGTAGTAATGAGGACCTGCCCTTATGTTAGAGACTGCAAAGTGCTACGACTCAGCAGAGGGGAAAACATTAGGTGGTGGGTTACTTAAAGCTCTCATGAAACGCTTCCCTACGCCACACAGAACGTTACGTAGCAATTGATTTCGAACTATCAAAAAACCGCTTCTTCACATTGGGTACTACTCTTCGAGACGTATCAAACGAAACAATCTCGATCATTAATGCACGACACTCGCAAGAGGGTTCTTATGAGGACTACAGACAACATAATATGTTTGTCTAACCTTTGGTTTAAACGCGATGAGCTTCAGTATACACTCCAAGAGAAAAACTGCTGTAAAACCAATGTTGAAACCGTCCAACACTCTTGTGTAAAGTTTAGGTTCTTGATAATACTTGTACAAGGAAACACAAAAGAAGTAACTTCTAGTAAGACATGAATGTTCTTTGAAGTCCAAAGAGCGGGTAGGAATTTGGGTCATAATCTGCAAACTTAGTACTCTGGACTATGAAAAAAAAACATGCAAAAGCAAAAAACAACACAAGATGCAGAAAAATAACGAAAGCTTGTGATATTCTGAAAGAGGGACACAGTCAAAAGGATATTTTTGGTTGAAGCCCAAACTAATAATAACAGCGTATCACAGGCCAGGCGGAGATTTCTTACGCACCACAATCCCCTTATTACAAAATGCCCCTGTTTTCAAAGTAGGATCTCTCTCTTCAGACAGCTTAGGCGATGATGTGCGAGACTTCCCGAAGGAGTAACGCAATCCTATGAAAGTTGGACAAACCTGCATCATCAGAACAACTGTGTTGCACACAATGAACGCGAAGATGAGGTATTCAAAGGCTTGTGACGTAACCACGCGCCATATATGGAACTGAAGGCGATTCTCAGGAATGTAACGTTTCAGCGGTTTCGCTCTCAGTGCAAATTCTATACACTGACGCTGAGAAAAGAAAAAATAACAAAATTGCTCGTTACATCGAAGGAATTAAGCCATAACGTAATATCTCGGTGATCAAAATAGCGTGGTTGGGTTTCGAAGCGGATTTCACCTTTGATATTTAGGGAAGAGGCTTTTGTTTTTCTTTTTCATGCAGCTCTTGGCGCAGGAAAACGCGTTCGGTAAATTCGCTTATGGTTTCAAACGTATTCCACTCGATTAGTCGAGATTACGGGCGTTAAATTTCTTTCAACTTACCAAAGACTGGCTAAAAACAACACACAGTCATTCGAGGAAACTTACGATCAGAGGATCAATAACAGGGGGAAACGTCTGTGATAAAATTATTACTCGTAGAGCAATTTTCAACGCTGGTTTTGCTTTACTTTGCTCTGTGATTGGTCCAGAAAACTCGCACCACTCTCTCTGAGCCAATCAGATGTAAAACTGAAAACAATCGTGAATTGGTCAATCGAGTTTTCCCGCGCTTCGAGCGTTTTGCTTGTTTTCAGTTTGGTTCTCATTGGCTGATGATAATGTAAAACCTTTATTATGATTGGTGGGTGGGATAACTCAGGTTTGGGTTTTTCGACATTTAATTGAAAGCTGCTTTTTACGAATGATTTAAAGTCGCGTCATTACGACTCCCATACTGCTACCCTCAGTAAAACCACGACGTCCGATGATTATTCGTAGCAATTTACGTAATTCAGCATTTCGCTACTAGTGGTTCGTTTTGGTGCGTAGTCGCCGTGACACCAAAATACATTGCGGCTTAAGGTCTTAGTCGCGTATTATTTGCATCTCACCTGATTCTTGTCCAGTTCACAACCTTTAAACTCCTCTTCTCCTTCGCTCTGAAAAGTGACGATCACAAAACCAACGAAGATGTTGACCATAAAGAAGGCAATGATGATGATGTAGATAATGTAGTAGATGGCTACCCACGGCCGGTTGTTCTGGTTGGGACCCTTGTCGACTTCAGTGGAGTCGATGGAATTCTCCAAAATCCTATCGAGAAGAGAAAACAAAAAATTGATTGCAGATTTTGAGTCCACTATATCCATGATTAATCTAAAGGCATAAATAGGCGGATTGAAGAACAGAAAAATGAAGTTTTGCGCCAGTAACCGCCCCCCGGGTATCTTAAAGGAGCTCTGCAGCTGTTAAGCCCAACTTTGAAAAGTTCTTTGTGAGCGATTCCTTGTTCACCTTTTCCACCTTTTTCTATCCTTGCTCCTTTGTGCTTCAATCTTGTTTGTTAAATGCTTTTCTTTTCTAAGAAAACATCGATGTTCAATCAGGGTAATTTAGTATTATCAACGAGTTTCAAAGCTGACGTTTCGAGCGTTAGCCCTTCGTCAGAGCGAACGAAATGGAAAAACCGAACCGCTGTTCAATAGTCTTATATCGATGAAAAAAGTTCTCTTTACACCCTAACATCAATATGCATATTTCCCATACTGTTCTTCATGCAATTCCTATTGTACTAGAACCGAGAGTTTGTTGAAAAGTGTTCCACTCCACCCATTAGCGAAGGAGAGGAGGAATTTAAAGGTTGTGAACTGGACAAGAATCAGGTGAGATGCAAATGATACGTGACTAAGACCTTAACCCGCATTAAACAATCATCGTCCCATTTTCTCTTTAAATGTGTCAATTTGAATCATTCGCTACGATTTAACGCATTATGCATGTTCACTAACCCTGGCCATCCTTCGAAGGTCATCACAGTGAACAGTGTCAACATGGCTTCACCAACATTGTCAAAGTTAAAGTGGTGTTTCTTCCATTCTCTGTGTTTCATCTGTCGAGCAAGAGTTGATTAGTTGTTGTTAAAAATTTACCCTAACTGTTAATCTAACAATGCCGTTTTACATGAAACTGATAGTTTTAAAAGTGACGCCAGTGCTGTAATGCAAGTGGCCTTAGTATAAATAGTATTAGTGGTGTTTAAAAAAAGTATCAGTGCAAATAGTCTTGGTAATAATGATTTCGAGTGCAATTTGGTGTTAATTAGAACGTGTGAATTTTTCAAAGACATCAAAACTGCAGGAGCCCGTAGGGCCACAGAGAGCATCGGAGCGCGGAATCCGAGGATCTAAGGTTCGATTCCTCATGAAGACTCAGAATTTGTCTTTGTCCCACGCTCGTGACAAGAGGAACAACATTTTCCTCTATATCTTTACCGAGCTTAAAACTTACCATTTTTTTTATTCAAGTAGTAAACAAGTCAAGAATTTTA